ATTCAAGAGTATTAGATATGTGATGTTTTGTGGCAGGCAGTACGGTGTCATTCAAGAGTATTAGATATGTGATGTTTTGTGGCAGGCAGTACACTGTCATTCAAGGTCTAGTCCCTTAAGCCATAATTAGCATTCACTTAAGGATTTCCGTGCAAATGGCCGTGTTCTTCCATAAAGCCGTAAATKACATAACGATTATTAACCTTGAAATAAATAACCACTGTTTGCTTACGTCTGGCACCTTTCTTATTGTCCAAAGCGCCTTCCCTTCTATATTTGATGGAATATTGTCCCATTTTTGTTTCGTGGTTTTATTTTAGAAACCAGCACTGAGGCTATGTACGATGCCGGTCAAGCAGGAAAGTAAATGCTTATCTTTTTTTCTGGAGCAACACTAACCGCAAACAAAAAAGAATCGTTGCAAGATGTTTGTGGGTCTCGCCTTAAAATCTCTAAATGTTTTTGTGCAATTTGTATTCATCCTTTATATTGAGTGTTTTTCCTAGTATCTTCAAACAATAAGAACACATGACTTTGCAGCTTTGCCACACGGACAATCTCACAGCATAAGAATCTGTTCTCTAATAAGATGAAAGCCAACATTATATAAATGATAGGATACCTATCTCCTTTTATTCGACTAAAATGAAAGCCATTTGAGTCAGTGTCAGTATAGGGATCTTATGCTCTTCAATGTCAATACATAAGATGGCATGCCATGCTCATAATAACAAGATGCTGTTTTAATTGTTGTTGTTGCATGCTCAATGAAAGACGAAGCCAGAGCCATGTGATATTGTCATGGTGTCCGGAAATGCTCTCTAAGAATGGAATGCACTCGGCTGATGCTCTTCTGCATGCAATCACCTGACAACAGGTGCTCTCACCATGAAACATAATCCACATCATTGTGCACACAATCAAACGGCATAAACACAATATCAAGAGATTTGGTATAAGTGAGAAAAGTAACACACTGTTTGTGAATTTAGTAAATGATATATTGCACCGCGAGACTGAACGTGCTTAAAGACAGTACCGTAGATTTATCTATAGCATTATTCCCGTGTTACCAACTGCACATGGGGGTATTGTTCAACACAAATCCTTAAATGAAAATAAAACAATGTTTTCTGTCTAAACAGTTTGACAAAAGCACGTTCAAAAACGTTACGGCATGCACAATTGCACAAAGGCGACCTTCCAATTTGACGCTTCTGTTGTTTGTCTTTTATATATGTCGTACAGTTCATTTTCTCAAACTATCTTACTTTACTTACACCTTACTTACATGTCTCAATTCTCTCCTTTTTTCATTATTTTTAGAACTTTGACAGTGATTGGAAAAGTGAGGTCCTTGATGAGTTTAGACTGTTTTGTAGGTACGTTATCAGGGAATGCAGTGCACACTAGTCGAATGTCAGCCTAATTTCAGTTGTACATCTCAGTGCTGTTGCTCAGTTCAGTTTTGAATCTTTGGCGGTCAAAATTCACACTATAAATCCTTGCAATGGCACCTTGTCACCACTTTAACACATCATTTGCAAATAATTGGATACCACGATGATTAACACTAAATACCAGATTTAACTTAAGGGTGTAGCTCGCCCTGCATACATCATGCACGGAAATCATTAAGAATGTATGCTTCTTTGTGAGTGACAAATATATACCCCTAACTGTGTAGATAGGTAAATAAGCTCATTATAATCGATACGAAACACATGCCGGGCTTCAGACTTTCAGAAAGTGAAGCAATTAAAGAGAGGTCCGATGTACTGATTTGGGAGGATCTTGACAGATATATATACGCGCAGATCCATCGATGGATTCAATCCTCTCGGCTTTCTGTGTTGTAGTTCAATAGAGCTGTCTGTCGCATTGTGTTTTTATGTATTCTTTCTGCCTAGAAAGTTCAGTGTGTTGAACTCAACTGCTGTTTTCAAGTTTCTTGCCACCTGTTATTTGGAAGTCAATTGAAAACTATGGAAATGACTCAAAACTTTGATCAAAATAGAAAGGAATCTTGAACAGAACAATGGCCTCGGAAAAGCGCACGGGGTCGATCCATGCAGCCGTATAATGATAAGTTTACTCGATCATTCGGTCATAATTTAAAACCTTACCAGCTAGCCTCTACAAATATCTTTCTATATATAAATACAGTCTGATAGTAGCTACGGATTTTTAAAAAATTCTTCATATGTCTCATGTAGCTATAATCACCAGCGCATTAGCGCTTTATCAGCCGTGAAACCAGTGAAAACGTTTAGTTAAAGAAGAAATGAAAATTTATTTTTAATACATGAAGAACTTTATACTTTTTCTTAACCTCACCAAGTTTTGGTTTCTTAAAGACTCTATTTCAGCCATAATTTACTATGAAGTCTCATTTGAGAGAGATATTGATTATCTGATTAATTTCGGCCTTTGATTCGGGGGCGTTCCTTAACCAGAGTTTGTGAGCAAAGAATCAAGTAGGAATTTTTTGAAAACATGGAAACTTCTCTCCTCACTAGGATATCACGAAGCCATTAGTCATTGCGAAACTAAGGATGTGAAAAGGTTATTAAGACAATACGTATTTATGAAAGTTACCGTTACCTGCCCA